TGTGGGGCTTGGGGGGAACTGAAGTGAGAAGTGAATCCCCATCCTCTGAGAATTGGTGGGAAATCCCTCCAGCAGCAGCATCAACCCCCTCAGATGGCTGCAAACTCCCAAATTTTGGCTGTTTGTTGATCTGAAGGCCCTTGTTGGTCCCGAACATGAAACAGAGCTGAGTCATCCCCTCCTGAGTTAACAATTGCCCGGGGCCTGTTAATAATTAAACCCCCTAAATAAGGGTTTGAGCCACTCCACAACCACCCCCCAGCTCCTGCAGCATTGCCAGAGCAGGAAAAATATTCAGGAATAAAATATTCAGGAATAAATGCCCTACCATTCCCATCTCCCTCTGTATCAACAGCATCGCTCCAGAGCGATGTAAATAAAGTTTCAAGTCCTGTTTAAATTTGGATTGTGGGATCTTTTGCATTTGGGATTAAGATTTTTTTACAGCTCCCCCTGCCCCCCCTCGTGCCCAGAGGGGCTTGTCCATTATCTGCCCATTATGGTGTCGTTAGGAAAAATAAATGGGTATTTAAGGTCGGTTCCTGCCGACTCATCTCCGAGTGCATCTCTCTGTACCCAACAGGAAAAGCATCCGGAAAAGCTCTGCTGCTTCATCATCTCCTTTGCAGAAAGGGAAGCAGAGAATTCAATTTTCTTTGCTTGGGAATGAAAAAAAATAAAAGTAAAATTTAAAGGTGTCTGGATTCCTGGTGAAGGGAATTTTATCACAGAGCAGTTTGGGTTGGGAGGGACCTTAAATATCGAGTTCAGCTCCCCTGCCATGGGCTGGAATGGCTTAGAATAATAAAAAAAATTCAATTTAAGTATTTTTAAGGGAATAAAATCATTTTGATCACTCAAGTGGGACTGCAGAGTCTCTGCACCAGTGACCCTCCTGACTCAGGGTCTGAGTGACAGCAAAAATCAGTCCATGGAAAGCAAATCTCTCCTTTCCTGAGTGCATTAAAAGTGTCTTATAAAAGCAACCAGAGAGTTTTATCGCTGTTCCCATCCCTGCAGGCACAAATCTGGGGTTTTTTGGGAAGGAATTGTATGGAATAATTAACCTCTTGTGGAATATTGGGTGATAATTATGGGGATATGGTGCTGGGGAGGAACTCAGGATGTTCTGGCCTAGTTTATTCTGTCAGAGATTTGGGGTTTTCTGGGGTTTCAGGAGAAGGGGAGAGAGCCTGAAATCCCTGGTAAAGCCTTGGATAAACCAAAGTTTTACAGTGAATAATTCCTTTAAATGTGGCCTCAAAAAAAGGTGGGAATTGCAGGTGATGTTGAGCTTCATCTGTGGAGCTGAGGCTTTAATCTGGTTTAAATCTGTTGCTGTGTCACGGCCCAGTTTTGTAGGCAGATACTATTTCTCCCTTGTTCTTTTGCACATTAAATTGAATTCTGAATTAAGAAGTTATTAAGAATTAATTTGACTCCACCAGTGCACAGTCAAACCGGAGAGAAGTTGGAAAACCAAAAAGTCATGGGTGGTTTTTTAAATTTTTTAAATTTTTTTGTTTAATTGATTGTTCTCCTGGTTCATTCTTCAAAAAGGAAAGAGGGGGGGAGGAAATACATCACACCTTCCCCCAAATGCTTTTTTTCCTCAGTGCTGGGTGTTGGGATTTCCTATTCCAAGGACAAATTGGTGAAAGGAGCTGCTCTGTGCTGGTGACTCTATTGCTGTTTTCTTCCTTTGCACGGGGGTTCACAGCTCCAGCTTTGAAGTTGCTGCTCTTAACCAGCCCCAACACCCCAAAAGTTCATTTTAGAGAACCAGGCTGCAATGATTTCATGTTTCTAAATGAGCATTAAAAGTTCATTTTAGGGCAGCTTTAAAAAATTGGCAGAAATCTGACTTCTTGCCTTGCATGTTGAGCCTCATCACAGTCAGCTGTAGTTAAATTGTGGCCAGAAATGTCATTTTTTGGCATGTGTTTCACCTCATTCTTCACTGTGAAGTGTAATAGCCTCAATTTTGGGGATCTGCTGGCTTTTGATGATTGGAAAAGTCTCACCCTTTCAAGTTAGATACTGAAAGGAAAGAGATAAGAGCTTTGCTAAGATGGTAAATCCCAGAATCCCAGAATGGTTTGGGTTGGAAGGGACCTTAAAGGCCATCCA